ACAAAATAATAAATAAAATATAATATTTTTTTAAAAAGTAAATCTAAGCCATGTGGAGGGCCCTAGAAATTATTTATGTCCTTGTCCTTGAATAATTATAATGCCTGGCCACATTTGAGAACTCTCTTTTAGATAAGAACTGTGTCATTTCACTTGTAGTTGACCATATCATTCACTATGTCTAACCCAAAGCTAGATGATGGTAAAATTTGTGAAATGAATATAATCTAGTACCACACACCTGGGAACTGGATGTATTCAATATTCAAACTTCCTGCAGCAGCACAAAGAAAATCTGCTTCAGAAAACAGACGATAAATACTAGGATGCTTTTCAAATGACATTGTTTTTAATCCACTAATGCCCCCTACTGTGCTGAGCATGAATAGCTAAATGAAAGCAATGGTCACAGTTTAAATATGCCCATAACTAGTTGCACATATTATACTTTCCTATCAACATCTATACTATGAACTCCGGCCTTCTGGTCCTAGGTGCCTCACGCTGTCAACTCTCAAAGCCAGATCAGTCCTACCATTTGCTCTGTCCCCTCTCAGCAGAGACTTATGGAACTGATGCTCTCAGCATTACCCTTGCAGAGCCTCTTAGCTCTTGAGCTCCCTGGTCAGTGTCTCTTCCAAATCCTATCATATTCATGAAACCATCACCCTCAAAAATACAGGAAACATTCACTGCTGATCTAAATCCTTGGCTATTCAAAGTGTGATGGGGACCAGCAGCATCTATAGTACTGGGGTACTCAGTAAAAATAGGAGAATCTGAGGCTAGAGAAATGGTTCAGCAGTTAACACTGACTGCTCTTCCACAGAACCCAGATTTGATTCCTAACACCCACATGGAGGCTAACAACCATCCATAACTCTGGTTTCAGGGAACCCGACATCCTCTTCTGACCTCTGCATACATTGGAAGCCACAGGTGCACTTACATACATGCAATATACTCATATACACAAAAATAAAAATAATCAATAAAATATTTTTTAAATTAAAAAATATTAAGAACCA